GGCGTCTGATAAGGTTTTATTAACTGGAGCCTCCTCCAAGCGCGTCGGAAGGGGCCCGGGCCACGACTTCCTCGCAGCGGCGCAGCGACCCAGCGTGCTGCAGGCCGAGACGGGGACCGCGCCGGGGACACTGCTGCGCCTCCCGCTCTCCCGGCGCGTCGCGTGCAGCGCGGGAACGCGCCTGCCTGGCCTCAGCCGGCTCCATTCAAAGCACAAAGCCCCCCTGCCCCAAGGGCAATGCCCCCAGACCACAGCCTCGGGGGGCGTCCAAATGAACCAAGACAAGCGCTGGTCCCGGCTGCAAGGAGATGCCCGGCCTTTCCTTCCCGATCTCGGCAGAGGCCCGAACCCGCCCTGGGCGGGACTGGCCCTTCCTACGCAGGACTTGCAGGGACCTGACCCGATCACTTCTGAAACCCATACGGGTGCATCAGGGCTTCTCCCTCGCACAGCAGCTCATAAATAGTTGGGAGAAGGCTGCGTGTCGGGGTGATAAGGCACTCCTGTCCGGTTGCAGCCCAGCACGTCTCAGTTTGAATACGGCGTGCCCGATGGACTTCATTCTCCACAGCTAAGAAAAGCAGCAAGTGCAAATGAGAAACAAGGAAGATCAGAGTGGGAAGAGGATGACGGGGAACAGGAAGCAAAAACCAACTTGTACCCTTCTCATTTTAGGCAGACCGAGCCAAACGCTAGAGGTGGAAAACCTGGCTTCTAAAACTGCACCCACAAATAACATGGTTTAGAAATCCAGCTCTGTCCTAATTGCAGGCAGGATTTAGAGACTGTCTTTTAAAGCGTGCCTCTAATTCTGCCTGCATTTAAACCTGGCACTGGAGAGAGGAAAAGAGCATTAGCCCGAAACGTATAGTAAACGCTGCACGAGGAAAACATCTTGGGGGAAATCTGGGCATCTCCTGCTGGCCTGCACCACGGGCTGGGAAGCTGCAGAAATCTCTAGGCCCACGGGTCTACAGCCCCAAGCGCTGTGCAAGACCTGCACACCCATGTCGGGGAGAAGTCCCTTTTAGCCCGTGCACCACGGGGTGTCACTCAGAAAAAGAGGATCCGCTGAAGCTACGGACATTTCCCATCACGCGCTGTAAGGACAACTTCCTTCTCAAGCTAGCTGGAGAAAAGCCTCCATCAGAGACCACGTGAGAGCAGGACTCCCGGGTCTGACACCTACAGCAGCGATGCAGAAGAGAGAAAAGAAAAGAAGTCTGACATGAACATCCTGGTCCTGACCATACTCTGCTGACCTCAGGCTTTCGCCATGGGCCTGGAGGAACGGCACTGGTGCGGACGGACAGCCACGTGACGGGACAGCCACCCTGGGGAGAGCATCACAAAAGTGGCTCCACTCTGAACTACAGGTTTTGATGCAAACTTAAACACTGGCGTTTTAACCAGTGAATTTAAGGGCCTCTATAGCCACGCAGTAGTCCACCTCACCTGTGCCAGGTGCAGGCCGTCTACACCGTTGTTAAAACTACCCTTAAAAAAGTAACTTGTTACACAGGACAAGTATTGCTGCTTTGGACTGACTGCTGATTTCTCTCAGAAGCAACACAGCAGACGTCCCATTTAGTCCCCTGATGATGATCTTCGATAAATGACTGGAGCACAGAGTGTGACGTTCGTCACAGCACCGAGTCCCATGACAGCCCCAGCCTGTGCTTGGGACAAGCCTGAGAAGGGAAGCAATCATACCACTTCCCAAAATTACGTTTTAAGCAGAAACCCGATCCCCGATTTCCTGCAATCTGTTACTCTAACGACCCTGGCTAGCCTGTTAGGCGAGTGTGTGCGGACACAGCAGCACAACTCAATCACAGATCAATGGGTGCATCTCCCAGCTGATCCTCTTCAGTGATCGTTAAGGGGGTGTTTTATTGAATAACTGCCCTGGGGTCTCCGAGGAAGAGATTTCTCCTTTAATCCAGTTCCCCGACGGTGCAGAACCCCGCAATGCCCAACGCAAAGCGCTGGTCTCCACGGCCAGGACAGCACGGGGTGGGAAAGGCGAGCAGCCACAGCTCTGGCCGGAGCAGGACGCTGCCTGCTCCCACGCATTACAGCACTGGTCCGTGGCATCTGGCAATGCTGAAACCGCCTCGCTCCCCCGGGGAGGCGGCGGCTGCCCTCGGACGCCCAGACACTTACCGTCATGATGAGTTTCTCCACGCAGTCGGGTGACACGCTGTGCAGGTGTGTGAGGTGCAGCTGCAGATGGATCTTGTTGTTGAGCATGTCCTGGCAGAGCGGGCAGCGGAGCATGGGCTGCACCGAGTGCTGGGTCATGGCATGGACCCGCAGCCGGTTCACATCCGTGTTACTGTACTTGCAGTACGGACACTGGTACATCTGCAGGGCGAGACGAGACACACCGCACTGACTAGAGCACGCGACTGCCATAGGCACCACTCACGCTTTCTCCTACCTTATCGCTTGACTCCAGTAATAACCTGTGCCTTTCTCCCACCATCCAATCATCACCTTTTCATCATCACCTAATTTTATTTTCCTTTTTTGCTCCCGACACCTACAAAGCAAATCAACTGCCTCTAGGTGTTTACCGCTTTCCAGCCAGTGCTGCTTCCCTCCTGTGCCTCACCTGCTCCGGTTTGGTCTCCTCTGAAGTTTTTGACCATTTAGAGGACAGAGGTGACTCAGAGCTGCTGGGAAATGACATGCGTTTGGAGGATGCTGGGGACTCTGTCAGCTCCTTTTCTGCCTGGCTGGCTGCTGGTGCTGCAACACAAAAAAAGGAAAGAAAGAAAGATTTGTATTATGACATCCCCAAAGAGGTTTACACTGGATGCAAACATCAGTAATTCCATTTGTGCTCTTCCATTTTCTCACAATGCACGCGCAGGATTTGAGAGAGGACGAACTTCTGGGCTAACCTGCATCTTACCGCACATGCCGAGAGAACCTGAGCGTTTCCTTCTTGCTATCTGCCATTACTGGCACTAAGAAATAAGGGCACCGTGACGGATTCTTTGCTATAAACAGAAAAAAAAAAATCACGCTCGCCCACTTGGGCGTGCTCAAACCAGCTTAAAAGCCGGCAGACGGAGAGGCATCTTCCCTGGCGCTTGCACCTGACAACACGTGGCCAGGGTTTCCACGGGCAGGTGCATGCACACGGGTCGAAAGCAGGATTCACGCTGCCGCCCTGAGCGTGCGGAGGGTCCCAGACGGCGCAGCAAGCCCCGTGCAATGTGCTGGTGTGCACGTCGACTGAGGACCGCGACAGCACGACACAAAGATTCCCGCCTGGGTCGTGGGAGCGGCCCCACCTTCTTTGACGGGCGGCCCCGATTCTGGAGAGGGCGGCGGTCACTTTGTGCGCGAGCGCCGCGGGCGGTCCCGCCGGCATCCCCACGCAGCTGCTCACGTAGAGACTGGTTTGGACGCAGACGCCAAGTTGTGCTGGATGCAAACCAGAACCCATTAATGGAAAACCAATTTTTATTCCTTGAAGTCAAAAACAGCGAACAAAACCAGAACCCGCTCAGAAATTATTCCAGGAAGTTGGTCCGCTTCCCAGAATGCCCAGCGGGTGACCTTTAACCCCGCGGCTCGGTAGCCTGGAGTACGCTAGTTTGTAGGACATCTATTATTTAAAAACTATAAGGACAAGTGTATTACACAGCCCCCCCAAACACACATTCATAACAGTACTTTAATCTGTCTCGAATCGACTTCAAACCCATTTCGTTCTTAATGGGAGTTATTCATTTTCACTTGAAAGGTAATACATGACAGCTGGATATTTAACGTGATGGATTGGCTGCCGATTAACTAGGTGCTGCACCGTTCTCAGGCTGGCTCCCCACGCCCCGCGCCCGAGCCTTGCCGTGGGACCGGCCACGGCCACGCTCAGGAGATGCAACCGGAGCACAGCTCGGGTACGTTACTCCCACGTCCAGGACCCTTTCACAGCGACCAGGGTGGGATTTATTGAAAGACGTGCCTCGTGGAAGCCAGAAATACAACGCACGCATCTAGCCTCCATCCCCTCCTCCTCCAAACCCCAGCTCTAAGCAGTATTTACAATACAGAGAGTACGAAACCACGTCCAGGAAATGGAAGTCAGATGCTACAAACGGAGAAAAAAAAAAATCGAGAGAGACTCCACGCTGGTCTCGTGGGACCTGACGAACAGCAGGGCTCCTGACCCGGTCCGAGCGGCCAGAGTCACCGCTCAGGGTTTCATCCGGTGGCTGTCAACGCAGGCCACTGCTGTCCTGCTGCACCCCAGACGCGTCTCCCACGCCCCGTCTCTGACTGCAGTCCACACCTGGAAAAGCACAGCGTGCTTAGTGCGAGCCCCAGGGCTGGGACTCGGACCTTTGCGCGGCTCGTCCTGCCCAGAGGAGGCCAACCCTGCAGTTCGTTAGCACAGAACACGTCAAGGCTGTCGGGGTAAATCTACAGACATCGAAACACAGCGCCTTTCTGCTCCCTGCCAGAGAGACGGGCTCCGGGTCTACGCTTGCTGCCCGAATCTAAAGTCTCCCTTGTGGGTTACAGCTGGAAATTCATTAAAAAGGTTTCTACACAACTGAAATGTACCTCTCTTCCTCCCCAGTAACGGTATCACCGCACGGTACAAAACGGGGCATGGAGTCTGTGGGTGAAAGCTGCCTGTGTTTCCCACCCCCGACCGAGGACAACAGCCGTCCGCATCCGACTGGAAGCAAACAGCCCCAAGGAGCGGCCCCCGCTCGGGAAGACGGACACGGAGAATCCCTAGCAAGAGCCCATTTGCCGCAGCAGGTAGAGGACGACCCAGTGCTAAATTACCTTGGTTGATCTTTGTGCAATGTGAGCAGAGCAGACCCAATAAGGAGGTTAACTACTGCTGACATGGTCCACTCCTCCATTTGACCTCAGACTTTAAAATGTCAACCACAATCAGGAAGTCGGGCATCAGCACGAGTCAGGCTGACGATCCCCAAGCCGTGTCTGCGTGTGGCTAGGGAGCAGGAACAACCGGCTCCTCCAAGATTTAGGATCCCTGCACGTTGCTCAGCTCGGGTCGGTAATTTCGTCTGCCGCGTGGTTTTGGGAGGAACTCTCCGGGCGCCGTATCCATCAACTTGTGCGTCAAGGCTCTGAATCTTGGTTATTCTACGAAACTACCGATTAGTGCTACTGAGAGTTACAGGTGGAAATCGCCAACGCGGCACACGGCAGGGGAACAAGGACCGTGCTGCGGCGAAAGAATGATGAATGCAGCCACGGGGAAGTCGCTAGCGACACTTTTCCACGTCTAAGAACGCAACTGCTTCATAAACGAAGCACGGGCCAAATACCGGCTCAACTGGATTTGTCAGAAAAACCAATCGCCGTTTCGGAGCCAACGCGCGGTGAAAATACGCTTTCAGAAACGTCCAAAACGCGACGTCCTCTCCTTCGACAACCAGACTTGGGGTAGTGCCTCCCAGACGAGAGGAGGCCCGGGCTCTCATCTCGGTGGTGCCTCTAACTCTGCACGTTTGCAGCCCTGGACATGTTGCTAACAACCGCATTTTCAGAAGTAGCCGGTCATTTCTGGGAGCCTTGATGGGATTTTGTTCGCGGAGGTGTTGAACAAAGGCAATTCTTTCTGACGTCAGTTTGGCGTCGCAAACCCTCAGCGACTCTGAACATCAAGCCGCGGCTGTCTGAAGCATGCATCCTACGTTGGCCGAACTGGATCACAGACAACGAGGGCTGGAAGGGAGCTCAGGAGGTCACATCTAGTCCAACCCCCTGCTCCAAGCAGGACCGGCCCCAGCCCCAGCCCCAGCCCCAGCCCCAGCTACATCATCCCAGCTGGGGCTTTGTCTGCCCGGGTCTTCAAAACCTCCAGGGATGGATCTAGACTCCTGGGCTGAGCTGGCAGCTCCGCATTGCCTATGGGCACGGGGCTTCCCTACAGACGATGCAACCTGCTTTTGGAGCCGCCTGTTGAACAGGGCGGCCCTCGGCGGCCTCTCCTTCGCAGGCAGCGCAGGGGCCTCCAGGTGACCCCTCCCCATCGCTCTGACTTGTGCAGCAGACCCGGCTGGCGCTAAACATCCCAGAATTGGGGAAAGTGAAGGGCAATTCAAACACGTCCGTTCACTTGCCCCAGCTGCGACATGCAGCTGATCGGGCCCGTAAACCTTGACCTCTCTAAAGCAGCAATACGAGCGCTTGCCTACTCCAGGGGAGGGGGCAGAGGAAGCAGCGGCTACGCTCTCAGCGCGGTCTGAAAAATGTGCTGGGACGCTGGTGCTAAGGGTCCCTTTAAAGGTAAAAACACCCACTGGGCTACCAGCAGTGGGACCACAGGTTCCTGCTGGCCAACAACCAAGCGAGTCTACTCCGTCGCAGCCGAGCACACAGATGATCTCAGGGTCCGCTATCGCGGAGTCGATGGAAGTGTCCACAACGGAGGAGCGAAGGACTCTCCGAAGAGACAGACGACATTACTTGCCAGCACACCCGGCAGACGGCGCGGCCCACCGGTCCGCGTGTGGGCTGGGCTCGGCGGCCCAGAACAAGCTGAAAACCTTAGTTCTCGCTTTCCTCTAAGTCCCTGCTCCAGAAGGGACGCAGCACAGACCTTGCCACCGCTGGCATTTGGGAAGAGATCAGGACTCCTGGAAGAAACGAACCAAGAACATGACAAGTGCCCCGAGTCCAGGGGGCCGCGTGTGGAGACGGGCCCCTTTAAAGACTTCAAGGACCAGAAGCATTTGAGGACTCAGCGTCAGGCCTGTTAATGTCGACGAAACAGAAAGAAAGATTGAAAAAAGACATTTTGCCGCCACACAGCAAAGGCCCGGCACGGCTGCGAGACAGGCTGCCGAGGGCCACTCCTGTTGCTGGCTCCTGCCGTGACTTGCTTTTCAGCGCCGTGGAGGATTTGCTTCCTCCTCCGTCTTACAGGGTAAAGCGCCCTGAGAAGCGGTCGCCCGTCTCTCTCGGTGAGCCCGGGGGGTCCCACAGAGCCAGCTACCCTTGATCCTTGTGGGAGGCCAAAGGCAGTCGCCACCCCCACCTTTCAACCATCAGACTCTCTCAGCTAAAGTACCACTGACAGCCCCTTCATCTCAACTTCCATCTCCCAACCCAGCAACATAATGGAGGAGCCAATTAAATGATTATTAATTCATGCTGCTTTCCGTAAGCCAGAGGTTCTCGTCTCCCTGCATTCCGTAAACCAGCTCGCCACCTGCCCGACAAATTTACAGCAGGGGTTTTGCTTTCTCCATTGATTAGGGAAAAAAATCCCTTCCTCCTAGCTCAGCAGCCAGCCTTGGCGAACTTTTCAGCCGCGCTACAACGCCACGCTGCCCTGGTCCGAGGGCAGCTGAGATCCCGCGGCAATAGAGGGGGCTTCCTCTCCAGCGAAAAGGTCCTTCAGACCTCCCCCCAAAACCTTCCAGGAATGACCCGCGCAGGGTCACAAAACTTTGCACCGGACATTAGCCCGCAGAGCGAAGTCTGGCTGCCTTCTCTGCGGACAGCGTCGTGGCCACAGCTGCTTATGGGGGAGCTGGGCAGGACGTTGCAATCGTTCAGGGGCTCCTTGAAGGAACTGCCGGCCATTTCTGGAGATCCCACGGGGCTAGCTCATCCCTTCTTATTCCCGCGAGTTTTGGAGCCTTCTCCCTCCTGCTCCGGCTGAGGCGGTCGAGCCGTCCTGTAGCCGCCAGCTCGAGACCCCACCCCAGCGTCGCCCAGTGCAGCCGCCTTCTCCGAGCCCAGAA